CCAGCTTGGAAAAACAAATCCCAACCTCTTGCCTGTTTCCAAACAAACTCCAAGTGTCTGCACATTGCCTGTCCTCCCCCACCCGCCCTGCTAGGAGGGGACGCCCCACCACTGCTAGGAACGAGAGGCGGCAGGACAGCCAGGATCTGGCCGGGGACCTCCATGCCCGGGGCCAGTGACAGTCCCCCACCAAGCAGGAGGGCCCTGTGGTGCCCCCCAGCCTTAGCCCCTCGTGGCTAGGCAAGGTCCCTGGTGCTGGGTAATGCTGGGCACCCCAGGGACCCGGGCTCAGCTCCCCTACCCCTCTATCCTCCTGTGCCAGCGCTGTCTGGCAGAGACCCCAGGGGGGTGGGACACGGCAGGATGGCTTACAGCCTTCCTGGGGTGCGTGGGGACCCCAGAAAGGTCCAGGTGACACCTGCCCACAGTCACGGCTGCCATACTCAGCCCTTCATCATTGTCACTCTCCTGGGCGCTGCAGACCCTGGCAGGGGGGGTCCCACTGCGGTGCCACTGTCGCTGCCCCCTCCCCAGGCGTGCCCCAGAGACCATCCCAGGGCCAAGGTGCTGTGCTCATCCCAGTGCCTCGTGGCAGGTCTGCACCTTTTTGGAGGATTACAGGGGATGTGCCAGTTCATCAACCATCTCCACGCCCAGATCAGGAGGTGGAGGGGGTCAGCAAGTCCTGGCAGGAGCCTGGGTAGCCGGGGGGCAGCAGGATGGCTGGGGTAGGAAAGCCATGTGGCTTTGGGGAGCTGATGCTTTTGCTCAGAAGCATTGCAGCAGGCTGCTCCCCCCTTGCTGCTCTCCCTGACCAGCTCTGCTGCCAAACATGGCCAGCTCTTTACTTCTCTTGAAGGTCTTCTACAAGCTGCCTTGGTACTGGCAGAGCCGGGCTCATCCCGGTGGGGAGGCAGTGCCCATAGCCCAGCTCAGGGTCTGCTCCCTGGTGTGGGCACTGCCAGGGGGCATGGGGGTCTCTGACCCACTCGGCTCTCCAGCTGAGGACCAGCCTCGAGCAGCCAAATTCACCCCAGCATCACCAGTCCCACCCATCGGCAACACCACCACGGCTCAGGTGTTGACAGCAGCCCACGCACTCAGCACCAGCTACACCGTGGGCTCCCTGAGGCTGCACCGGGCTACGGCAATCGCTCTCCAGCCAGTCTCTGTCCTTCCCCAGCCCTGTCCTTCCCCAGCTGTGGAGGCAGGAGCCCATAGACCAGCCCAGGGTCTGCTGCTCCCCAGTGCAGCGTGACCTGCTTTGGCCTCTTCATCCCACAGTCCCTTGGCACATTGGGGAAGGGGAAACTGAGTCACCAGCCTCCCAGCACTAAAGGAGCTCTGTGCTGCCTCTGCCCCTGGTCCAAGCCTGCTGGGACTCCAGGAAGGGGGGTTTCTCCTATCTCCCAGCTTGTCTCCTGGGCTGGGGCTGGCTGTAAGCCTGCAGAGCATGGGGCTGGCCCCCAGCACCCACGCCGGGGATGTCTTCTCAAGCCAGGGGCAGGAGAATTTGCACCCACATGTGCAGCCGCAGCTCCAGTAGGGTTTGACCCCTGGAGGTGCTCAGGATCTGGTGTGGAGCCTTGTTGATAGAAACTGGACTTTTTCTTCCATAGCTCTGTACCACAGGTCACTATTTGCAATATCTGCACTATTCCATTACCTGTGCTATTTCAGATTGACGACTATATCATCTGCACCATTTCTACCTGCACCACTGCTTGCAGCTTTCTTTACAAGCCAGAAATACAGATGTTTTCTCTATTCAACAGCTTTCAAGACCGAGACACAAGCTCACAGCCTCACCAGGTGGGCAAACCTCATACCTTGCCACCCTCCCAGCGCCCATGGGTGACCGCTCCTGGAGAAGGCTCAGCATGTAACTGCCACAGATATTTCCCCTCTTCCCTCACACTGCTGTTTTCTTTTTCTTGGGAGAATCAGTTTTGGAAACATGCAGTCTCCAAGCAACTTTGAAGCTGCATTGCATCCCGGCTCGAGCTTGCTGGTAGCAGCTTCGGGGGGGGGGGGGGCAGAGGGGGCTTCTGTCGAGAGCCTGGCTCCTCTCCAGCCCCCCCCCACCCCCACCCGAGGCTTCAGCTTTCATTTCGGAGTGCTGGCAGACAAGCTGCACCCTGTGAGTTGTTTGCAGAGGGAGCAGTCCCAGCAGGCTGGTGCCTCAGGGAGGTACCCAGCTGGGAAGGGGAGATGCCATCCCAGCCCCACAACTGGCACTGCTGTCCCTGGGGCATCCTGGGGACTCTGGATGTCCTCGGAGGGTCTCCACGGTACCCAGGCTGGGATGCCAGCACACCCAGTGCCAGCCTCTCTGCACCCACCCGAGCTGCCCCCTGTGGTCCCAGAGCCTGCAGGGCTGGGACCCCCCGGGGTCACTCCAGGGGGGGGATCCCCTGTGCTCTGGCATGGGAAGCACTGAGGGATGGATGGAGGCACTGAGGGACAGATGCCCCGCTCCAAACGCTGGGACACGCTGCACTTGGCACCTTTTAGGGAACCATACAGCAACTTCCCCATGCAGCGGCCTGGATCCGGCCGTGCAGATGCCCAGTACAACTCTGCTCCCCCGGGCTGATCCTGACCCGCTGCTGGGAGCTTCCCGAGTACCACCAGCTGCTGCAAGCCCAGGGCTCAGCCCTTTGGCACTGCGCTGAGGGGGACAGTCTGTGTGCGCAGGGGGGGTCCCCCTTTTCCCCCCTTGACCCTGGGATCTCTCAAGGGATCCTTTCCTGCCAGGCTGGTTTGGAGCTGCACTTGCAGTGGGTGCTGGAGGATGCTGCCCTGAGCCCTCTCCAGCTTGGGTGCACCCCACAGCACCCTGGCACCCCCACATACACCGTGCCACTGGCTGTGCCTCTGTCCCAGCTCAGTCCCCAAGGGCTGGCAGGGCAAGGAGCATGGCTGAGCCTGCCTGGTGCCACGCAGCACACCAGGCTGCAGAAACACTGGTCAGTCCTCCACAGGGAAGCATTCTCCGGTGTCCCCATCAACACTGGGACCATCTCCAGGGCCAGGGCCACCTCTTCTGTGAGCTGCTTCCCAAACAAGCAAACACCCCTGGAGATCGAGCCAGGGTCTGGAGCGGGGCAAACAGCTCCAAACTGCTCAGAAACTGCTGCAGGATCTCACCTGGGGGCCAAAGTCCTCCTGAGACTGTCCCACCTGCCCACTGCTTGAGAGCTGGGGGTCAAAGCCACCGTGGTTCAGCAAGCCAGCGTAGAGCATCACTGCTGGAGACCGAGAGTGCCCAGGACCGAGCTGCATCTCATCAAGCACCTTCACCCTGAGCTGTAGCTATGCAGGATCGGGCACTGACAGTGGTGCGGCTTTACAGGCAGCTGCCTGGCTTGACACCACTCTGGGGTCATGCTGCCTGCACAGCCGGGGCAGACCAGCCCATGGTCGGGGTCCCAGGAGCCCACTACACCGGGGCAGAGCAAGGAGCTGCAGGCCACTGGCAAATGGAGCTGCTGGCTGCAGAGCCCCGAGGGCTCTGCCCTGGGCGAGGGGTGCCCCAGCCTGCAGCTGCCTGGTGCCACACACAGCCCTGGCACTGCCCTCCCCTGCCTGTGGGATCCTGCCCTCTCCCCTCCTCCGGTCCTTGGTCCTCTCTGGCCGAGAAGCCTCATGCGACGGCTCTGGCACTGACCCCATCAGCTCTGGCACCGACCCCATCACTGGTGGTGGCTCTGCCCATTGCACATTCTCCATGGCACCACACGGGGCAACCACCGCCTGGATCTCCAGAGGTGGCTGTCCCATCCCTGACCATGCTGTCCCCACCTTGCAGGCCTTTGCTCAGTTAAGCCATTGCAGCGGGCTATAAATCTGTGCTCAGAGCTGCTCTCCCCACCTCTGTGCATGCTCGTGGCCTGACCACGAGACGCGAGCCATCCGGCGGGCAGGCACCTGCTGCTCTGGTGGCTCCGGCTTCGTCATGCGGCACCGTGGGACGCGCACCACTGCGCTGGCGTTCGCCTCCCCATCCCGGCAGCAGGTTTGCTGCACGGGTGTGGGCGTGTGCTGGGGTGTCACGCACCCCCTGCCGCTGCCCAGCCAGGGACCAGCCAGCAAGCCGTGACCCATGCCATCCGCTGGTGGATGGACCCGACACTGGTGAGATGAGCGCAAGGAAGACGGTGCGGGGGCCACCCCAGGCACCCAGAGCCTGCAATTCGGGCGGGTCGAGCTGCTCTGCAGCTGCACCAGCCCCGCAGGCTGGGTCGCGGCCACACACTGCGCAGCAGCCTGCACACATGGAATGCGGGATGCACACCCGCACGCCCCCCGTCCCCGCTGCCCCTCCGGCTCACACCGCCATGGCACCGGGGGAGGGTGACGGGTGCCAGCTCCCCCGGCCCCTTGCGCTTATAAGTCCCATGGGAGCTTGGCGGCCACCCTTGGCTGCCCTGCCCTGGGACCTGCCTGCGTGTCCCCGAGCCTCTCGTGTCCCCTCGCCAGGATGCAGCACCTCGCAGCCCCCCCCGTCCCGTCCCGTCCCGGACAAGCGCTTGGCGCAGCGGTGCCATGCCCGGACTGTCCCGTGTCACTGCCCTCGGTGACATCCCACTCGACCCGGGCACGGCACACGCCGCCCATCGGGTTGGGGGGCAAAGAGCCCTCCCGGGAGGTAGCACCCAGGGGGGCTGCCCTCCCACCCTCGGGCATGTCCCCAAGGCGGGTCAGGGAGGGCTGCCTGTCCCTGCTCGGGGACACGCAGCCGGGGCAGGCGGGGGGCTGCCCGGGGGAGGAGGGGGCAGCAGCCGAGCCCCTGTGGCCGTGGAGGGTCCCTGCAGAGCCGGGGAAAAGCGCTGCCCGGGGCTAAGGGGAAGGAGCCTTTTCTTTCCTTACCTCCTTGCTGAGAAGCCGGGAGGATGGAGAAGAGGAGGAGGACTCCGGGAAGGAGGGGTGCAGCTGCCCGCCTTGCCATCTCTTGAAGCAATGCCCCCGTGCTCCCGCAGGCAGTGTGTTTTATCCCAGAGCTGCTTAATTGTTGCTTCCAAGGATGCGAGGGGAAGGGGAGGGGGGGTTGGAAGGAGGGAGGGGAAAAGGAGAGGGAGAAGGGGGGAGAGAGGCACAGGACACTACGTCATGAGGAAAGGGCAAACACACACGAGCCTCTCCAGCCGATTGGGCTGGCTGCTTGGGTTTGGGTTTTGGTGGTTTTTTTTTCCTCCCCCCCCCCTTTTTTTTTTAATTCCTCTCCCTCGCCGCTCTCTCCAATCCGGGCGCGCCTCTGCCAAAAAAGCTGGAAGGAGCGGGGGGAGCTGCGAGGCTGCCTGCGGGGGGAGGGCAGGGGAGGGCTGCGCCCACTCCGCCGGGCCACCGCGTCCCCGGGTGGCAGCGCGGGGGGG